GGTATCATTCAACAATGGCCGTTGAATGGGCGATGTTTTGTTGAATTTATTAGTAAAATAGTGACCGCTAGCCGCGTTAGAGGAGTGACCGTTGAATAAAGAGATGAAACAATAGAATTTTTACGGGGGGATTTATCGTGACCGCTTACAAGGAGATGTCGCTGAATAGGAGTGGCTGCTCATACAGATTCTACTGTTTAGTTCTTGTATAATATATGTTTAAATGCATGTACATATTGGTAGAATTGTCTGATAAAATTTCTATCTTAATTACATTCTGTGCCTTCAAGTGATTTACAGTTATCCACAATAATCACATGCCATAATTTAATGTACAGATCCCTTGCATATAGTTGATTGAATTATAGAATCAGCTTCAGGAAATTAAGAGTATTTATGTGATTCTATTGTTTAATTATCTGCCTGTAGGCAGAAGTTGACTTATTATTCTACGGTTGGAATACATGTATTACCGATATAAAGTCACCCAGAAGAAATACACTTAATTCTTTATTTTAAGCATACATTATGCAACAGCTAAATCTGCCTATTGCAGGTCTTTATTTTGGCCTGAAATGTACACCAATCCTCAGCATGTCAATTCCTCCAGCTTCCAGAAGTATTAAGTATTGGGGAGAAATAATGTGATGAAATATTCCATCTCTCGAACCCCCTTCAAATGCATAGGCCAGCATTTCATTACCCTCTATTCCCAATATTCAAAACAAAAATATCAAAACTTCACAAAAATTTCTATATTCCATTGCAAATATATCAAGAATAATTAAATAATTATAAACATAACTGAAATAATCTTTGTTAAGTAACACTTGTTCAGCTGTCAGGAGATAAAGGAGCACTGTCCCCAGTGTAATCCACTCTGACTCAGTTCGGACTGAAATCAAAGTAAGATCGTAAGTACACCTTCTCTCCCGTTCTGGTACAAATAAACATGGATACTGTAAATACTTTGCCTGAAGTGATAATAAATTTTATTCTATAAAACATATGAAAATACTTGAACTAAACCAGATCAAATCACACAAGGAGACAGGACTCCCTCACCCCTGACCCACGTGAATAAGAAATCCACTTCAGGCATCAGTGTCCCATGGGTCAGTGGTAAGAAAGATCCCATCTAGAAACATACAAATCGTTAAACCTATCATCTAAACAACAAAACAAAGCGAAAAATGGGACTAAGTGTTCACGCCACATTGTCACAACTCATTTGTCTAACACCCCCCACCCCCCGATCATACAATTCAATACAAACACGTGCGCTGACCTACTCATCAATAATCAAGCATGTAAACAATTTACACACTAATAAGACGCTTACTAGTCTGTTGTGTAATCAATTTCTCTTATTAATGAATTGCGTCTATCTACAAATGCTACAAATAACGTTCACCAATAAATCTATCCACTGAAAATTACCAATTTTGCCGCACAAATAATTTCACGCCATCAAGGCTTTCCTATTTCCATCAGGACTTTTAAAAGTTGAATACCACCAAAGTATAACCCTAAGCCACCAATGCTATTGGCTACCTAAGCCAAAATCAATATACCACCAAGGCTCCCGTCGAAAGGCAAAACCTAGTAACTCACTTTTTTCTTATTTTGAGAAAACAAAGGAAAACGTAATGAATGAATATTAAACCCCAGATCATCCATTGATTTGACTATTGAGTTACTAGGTTTTGCTGTGGTATACTAGGCAAATGAAGGAAGTTGCTAGGTTGTGTCATGGGTGTAACTGCTTACAAAATCAAAAGATTGGAATATCTAGTATAACAACAGGAAGCACATACCCTAGTAACTACAAATTTGGTCCTAACTCAATTTTGATAAAAAAAAAGTGAGTTACTAGGTTTTGCCTTTTGACGGGAGAAGGCTATTGGCTATACCTAAGCCAAAATCAATATACCACTAAGGCAATTGGCTATAGCACCAAGGTATTTTCAAGTAAAAATAATGAAACAAGCACACGTCTGTCCACCTAACTGTCTTAAATGAAGAATGAATTCAATACATCATACTACTCATCATCTGAAATGTCACGTGAGGATCTTATCTAAATTATTAATTAGACATTTATTAACATGAAAAGACCTTAATCAACTCTTGATGCCATCTTGGGTGTCAGATTTTCACTGGATTTGAATCGAATCTGCTTCTCAACACTCATTGATGATTTAATCCCAAAATGTATTATCGAGACTGTTTTTTTATCGTACCAACTTTAGTAATGATGACCGAGGCTAGGTATAAAATTCAATCGCTAATATCTTGGTTCAGAGTGGAGTAATTATCTAGTTTTTAACTATTATAGTGAGAACTGTCAACTCTTTATCTAATCTCCCATAACTCCCCTTAATTTCAAAATATTAATTTTGGTATATTCTTTGGCATTTTTATCCACTGTCATGGATGTATATATTATCACTTCCATGACTCTGTTGTCTGAAGTCCATTTATTGAATACAGGGTAGGTAGATGGCCGAATGGTTAGCATGTGCACGCTGTATCATAAGGTTGGTCATTGAGTCAACTGGCATGGTCTTGATTCCCCAGTTGTACATGACAAGGAGTAGGGTCACTTGTCCAACAGTGGCGGCGCTAAGGGGGGTCAATCTGGTCTGCCCTCTGTTTGCCCCCCCCCCCCTATAATTTTAGAAAATAAAAAAAAGTATTTGTGATACGTTTCGGTAATCAATACCTTCTATGGTGAATAAATCCCACATCCCCACTCCGTCATAGACTTGCATGTTGTAGAGAATTTCCGACAGTCTATTTTTCAAAATTTTCTTGGAGAGGTCCCCAATACCCCCCACAAGGATTCGTTACTTTGGCGCTCAAACGGGGACTTTGTTGAGGTTCGCAAGTCAGTTCGTTTGACACTTTACCTCAACGATCAGTGCTTGTTTTTCAAAATTTTCTGGGGAAGGCCCCCTACCCCTAGTTGAAATTTCTGTCTTTGCCCCCTTAACCTTGGACTTTGCCCCCTTAACCTTGGACTTTGCCCCAGCGTTGCCCCTCTAATCACTGTTGGCTGGCGCCGCCACTGTTGTCCAACCTTGTGGGTTTTCTCTGGGTCCTCCGGTCTCCTCCCACTGCTAAAGACCCATACGCGCAAGCGAATTATTGAAATAAATTTGAACCATATGTTAGTCCCAAAATGACCTAGTTTGTGTTGAGTGGATGTTAAACCCCATTTCTATCACTCTAAATAAAAGATGTTTACATCTCTTTCATTGACATTAAACCCCCTCTCTCAAATCTCTCTCATTGAATTCAAAAATTGTCTACATTTCCTTCCCTTTATAAATTATAATCTACCCAAGGAATAATTATATGTAGAGCACAGGGCAGTGGCGGCGCCAGGGGGGGGGGGCAAGGGGCCCCCCATTAATCTGGTTTGCCCCCCCAATAATTTTAGAAAATAAAAAAAAGTATTTGTGATACGTTTCGGTAATCAATACCTTCTACGGTGAATAAATCCCACATCCCCACTCAGTCATAAACTTGCATGTTGTAGAGCATTTCCGACAGTCTATTTTTCAAAATTTTCTTGGCGAGGTCCCCAATGGACTCGCTACTTCGGCGCTCACAAGGGAAATTCGTTGAGGTTCGCAAGTCCGTTCGTTTAACATTTTGTTCTCTTGTCGGATAAACTGGTGATTTGGCGACGAATGGTATCTGGGCAGATCTATTTATCTCGACGATCGGTGCCTGACAGAATACTGTAAGACAGCATTTCCGGCAGTCTATTTTTCAAAATTTTCTGGGGGAGGACTCCCTACTTTGACGCTCGTGAGTAGGCTTTGTCGTGATTCGCAAGTCCGTTCATTTGACACTATACCTCATCGATCAGTGCCTGAAATACTGCCAGGCTGCATTTCCGGCAGCCTGTTTTTGAACATTTTCTGGGGGAGGCCCCCTACCCCTAGTTGAAGCTTGTGCCTTTGCCCCCTTAACCTTGGACTTTGCCCCAGCTTTGCCCCTCCAATCACCGACGGCTGGCGCCGCCACTGCCACAGGGGCCTGTTTCACAAAATTTAACTAAGATGAAATCCAAATTTTAGAAAGTTCATCAAGATTTTCAGGCGTGGTTCAATCTTGTCTGTGATGCAGGACGGGGGGCCTGACAAGAACTGTCTACTCATTTGGATGGGACGAAAAACCGAGGTCCTGTGCACACATTGGCGTGCATATAAAAGATCCCTTGACAATTGGAATTCGATATAAGAGTAGGTCGTAGTGCCGCTGTCCAGGCCAAATTTCCCTCATGGCACACTGTATGGCGTATGCCCGTCTTCATTAGCCCAGTTCGGAGCAGAACAGTAGAACGTTAACCCCCATTTTATTTCATTTTTCTGTTGAATGATAACCCTAGCTGTATACCAAATCTAAATGACAGCAATCATCACTCATATTAAACATACATTATTCAAGAGCTAAATCGATATATTGCAGGTCTTTCTTTAGACCTGAAATGTTATCTAAATTATTAATTAGACATTAGTTAACTTATCCAGACATTAATTAACTTATCCAGACATTAATTAACTTATCCAGACAATAATCAACTCTTGATGCCATAGGATGTCTTCGATATTACATACGTTAGAACGGTTCGACCATATTTTAATTTAATTTAAAAAGGGGAGAAGCGAGCCTTAGCTTCAAACAACCAGTACAGTGGTTGCAATTAATGCTCCCATCTTGTCAAACCTTCAAAAGTTAATATCTTCGCTCGCAAGATAGGAGCGAGACTTGGCTTCGAACAAACAGTATGGTGATTGCAATTATTGCACATGTCTTGTCAAACCTTCAAAGGCTAATATCTTCGCTCCCAATAAAGTAATTGGAATGAAAATTTTAAATTATTCATTTTACATTATCTATTTTCGAACTATTATAGTAAGAATGGCTAGATCTTTATCTAAATCTTATGTATCTTTAATAATTTGCTTTACTTTTTTATCCACAAGGAGCGAAAAGAAAGAAGGGGAAGAAGAAAAGAACAGACCAAGACAACAAGAAACGTGACCACAAAACATCAACGGGTTCGGACAGTAATGAAGCTAGTGGGGGTGATAGAGATGATAATGACAACAATACTCCAACCACTTCACAACTTGATGATCTTCAGAAATTACTGGATAAAAAACGCGAAGAATTGTTACACAAAGCTGAAGAGACAGCTGATAATAAAGGTAATATATTATTGACATAAAGTTATAAAATTTCAAAATCCATTCTCTTTCATTTACTCTTGACCTCGTTATTCTATTCTTGTTTCAAACCAGGGATCGTCTAATGAATGAGGAGGGTTGGATGGCCGAATGGTTAGCACGTGCGTGCTGTTATCATAAGGCCTGTCATTGAGTCAACTGGCGTGGTTTCGAATCCCCGGTTGTACGTGACAAGGAGTAGGATCACCTGTCCAACCTCGTGGGTTTTCTCTGTGTCCTCCAGTTTCCTCCCACTGCTAAAGACCCCTACGCGCAAGCGAATGATTGAAATAAAATTGAATCATGTGTTAGTCTCGAAATGACCTAGTTTGTGTCGAGTGGACGTTAAACCACATTTCTCTCCCTCTCTCTCTAATTAATGAAGAAAAATAAAAAAGGTCTCATTTAGACTTGACCTTGTAATTCTTTTCTTGTTTCAAAACATGGCTCTTCAAATTAATGAAGAAAAAAAAAGTCTATAGTAGTAAATAAACTCATTAATTAGTATTATTCCAGTTTCTTGAAAGTTATAAAAAAATGTGGGGACCTTTTCTGACCATATCTTATGATTTAATACAAAAACATAATATGGAACATAATTACTATTTTATTTAAAGCGCGTTTCGTTTTGAAAACGTTTAGAGAACCCTCAACGAAACGTCGCTTTAAATAAAATAGTAATTGTGTTCCATATTATGTTTTTGTATTACGTATGTCAATTGCTAAATGCCGCTCAAAGAAGATCTTATGATTTATTCGAACTGGTGTGAAAGTTGTTAAATGTCTTTTATCGTAACATTTGTGTCCTTCAAGATTAAAAAATATTGCAACTGGTTTGAACTTTTAAATTTAATATCTGTAAAGTGTTGTTTAATTAGCTTGGAAAGGGCACATTTGCTTCCTCCGCGTGTGTTGTTATTGTCAGAGGGAGGCTATATATACATTCTCGAAATGAAATGAAAGCAACATGTCCGAAACAATACGTGGGAGAGAGAGAACAAACAAGCCTTTTAAAAACAAATTAATAAAGAACACTTTGCAGGAACAGAATGGCTAGTACATCTTGGACGTCACTTGTACTCACGCCCCCAACAGCTATATAAAGGAAACAGCTGGCATTCTAATTTCAGTCTGAAGAGTGCACAAAAGAATGAAATTAGTAGCTTAAGGAGAGGATTCACCACTATATCCATTTCAAAGTTTTCCTATACAAAGTTGTCGGGATATAATTGATAGAAAACATTAAATTCTTTCTGTCATAAAAGAAAAAAACAATTTGCAAATTTTGGTGGATGGACAAATGGTTAGCACGTGTGCATTGTATCATAAGGTCTGTCATTGAGTCATGGGTTTTCTCCGGCACCTTCGGTTTCCTCCCACTGCTAAAGACCCCTACGTGCAAGCAAATTATTGAAAAAAATTGAACCATGTGTTAGTCCCAAAATGACCTAGTTTGTGTTGTGGACTTTAAACCCCATCTCTCTCTCTCTCTCTCTCTCCCTCTCTCCCTCTCTAGGTACAACTTGTGTTAGTGATGTCATCAATGCTATCAGATCTTTGAAAATAGCAATGTATTTAGAAAATCCATGAAATGGTTTTTTTTTGTTCTGTTGATTCAAGCAGTTGTCATCGTTGTCTATCTATTATTAGAATAGAGAAATAGTTAGACCGTCTCATTTAAATTGGTAATATAATCAGACATTCATATGTCGTATGATTTGACACTGATTATAGAACTTTTATAGGGGTATGTTTCTATATGCCCGCACCAAAATGTTATCACCCTGTCCAGCCATCAACAATTTTGAGGAATTCTTTTAAATTTATTAATCAGCATATGAACCCTATCAATATCCATCTTTCCATGAATTTCTGTTCAAGAGTTACGCCCTTTTTTATTATAAACCTTGTGAACGTGATAGAGGCTATAAGTTTTTGACGGATATTTTTCAAATTTGGTGTGAAGCATTGGGATGAGAGGATGAACTCTATCGATATTTAGCGTTCCACGGACTTCCCCCTTTGTGAATGATTTTAATAGATTTTTTCAAGCTTGTGTACATGATAGAGATCAGATTTCTTGAAGGTATTTGATTCATATCAAATTTGATCAACATCTGAGTATTCCTTTCTGATAAGCTGCTGTCGAAATGTAGCTGCTGTATGGGAATATTTCCACGCTTTGTATGACTATGTTTTTTTGGGGTTTCAGATACGAATAAGAAGCCAGTTGCCCAATCTAATGATAATAAATTACAACAGATACTAGGATCACGATTTTACCACGAGACGAAGAAAGACACTAAATCAAATAAACGTACAGAAAAAACAGGTGATTAATTATTATCAATGTTTTCTCTAGTCGCGGTCACCCAGAACCTTCTAGTCCCCGAAGTACGGAGGGTCTGGCACCGTTGTCCATTGCCCATGCGTAACCGGGAGTTTGGTTGATTATCCAGTATATTTGTCAAAGTCAAGTAAGAGTTGCGCCCCTTCCCGCACTAGATCCCATAACTCTTGCAATAATATAAACAAACATGAATCGTGAAGACGAATTAGGATTAATTAAAATATATAGATATCGCCCATGAAGAAAGAAATTTTACAATAAAAAAAAAAGTAAGAGTGTTGGATATTGAATTGGCAATGTAATCAAATGTATTTTCTGAAATGGCATTCTTAAATTAATTTCCTGGGCACCAATAGGACTAGTTACCTCCCTTACACTTTATGATAATGTAAAAGACCGGATAATCTGGAAAATGACCTATTATTCTCAAATGTTGACAAATAAATAAAATGGTAGAAGTGAAATTTTCTATAGCCATAGCATTCTTCTTGAGAATCTGTTTCTCATAATAAGTGCAGGGTGACTGCACCACACATAATTTACACAAAAACAAATCTATGGACAAGACACACTAAGTAGAAATCACAAACGAACATATCAAATTAAGTGAATGGATCCGGGGGCTAGGGATTTTCTCTGTCTTTTAATTGTCTCTCTGGTATCAAAAAATGTAATCAGTGCCGTCGAATAACTCTATGGTCAGTAATCTTGTTTGAAGCAGAAACAGACTTAAGGTTGGTAAGCAAGCCGTATACCTTGAGACTTGTGCGTAGATTGACAATGTTTAAGAACAAAGTTGTGCTTAAGTTTTTTCTTGGAACACATAAGAACGTACATGTGTTGACCCTGAAGTCTACAAAAATCTTAGCACAAGAATGTTCTTAAGAATTTTCTGGTAACACAAAATAAGGTAAGTTTACTTAAATGGAAAGTCTACTTAAAATCTTAGCACAAGAACGCTTTATATGCATCATTTAAATTAGTGAATCGAAGAAGCTGATTGAATTTCAGCAATTTGCGTTAATATTTTCAGGAGTTATGGCCCTTGTTGCCCTTTGTATAATTGCTTAAATGAAAAATGTTATCATCTAATTTGTATGAAATTTAAGTATGATAAATGTTTCATCGGGAAATAGAAACCAACCAAATTTTACCTTGTGGGTTTTCTCCGGGTCCTCTGGTTTCCTCCCACTGCTAAAGACCCCTACACGCAAGCGACTTATTGAAATAAAATTGAACCATATGTTAGTCCCGAAATGACCTAGTTTGCTTCGAGTGGTCATTAAACTCTCTCTCCCTCTCTCTCTCTCTCTCTCTCCAACCAAATTTTAATTATTTCTGATAATAACTTAATATGTTGTTACTCTTAATCAGTTTCTAGTGTCTTGTAAATGCTCAAATTACCTACAAAAGAATAAATATGCGGAAAACCCTTGTCGCCTTTCAGAAGACATTGCTGCTGTATTGTTATGTTTTGTTGTCTGGCAACCTATCTTTGTCAAAAATGACCACAAAAAACTGTAAAATTAAATCAGTGGCCAATTATTTATCTATAAGCCAGTATTCATTTCACTTTGAAAGAAAAACGGGCAAAATTAATAGACTATTGTTGTTTTTTTGTTGTATTTTTTATGCAAGTGGTTAATACATGCCTTAATCTTAACAAAAAATGTGCGAGTGAGACATGCAGGAAATTATTATTGACTAAGTTATTAAAGTATATTTACTGTTGTTGCAAGTTATTAAAATGTTGGCTATTTAAAATGACTTGATGAACATACACATGGATTGCGACAATAAGCTGTTTAATTTGAATGAAGAGGGAATTTAATCCTAGTATTATTCCTATCTATTGATACAGATTTTATAATCATGGTATTGTTGATATTGATATTATTTAAATTATGTAAACAGTAAACTAGATGTTTAGACGACCACGTTATCCTCATCTTTCAGACAATTTAATCAGAATAGAACTTAGCGATTATAAGATCAAACGTCCACCCACTCTCTAAAGTATTGATTTTCTTACATTCAGAATCGGTGCCATCTAATATTGCCAGTACACAGAGAAATAAGAAGCGTAAGGCCAAATCTTATTTTCCTGTCATTGCTCAAGCTGAAAATCGTGGAAAATCTCAAACACATAATGACTTGATACAGCTGACAAAAATTGTTTGTGGTAAGTAATATGTTATGATTTGTTTTGAATTGATGAGAGTAGAATCTCTCCAGTTTATTTGTATTTTGATGTAAATTAAGTAATGATATGGCAACCAGAGTTAAATAACAATGTTATTATTATGTGAATGGACATGGTTTTCTGTTTTAATATGATATCCTCCTTCTCAAAAACACTAATAATATAATCAAGTTTATTAGTTCTTGGTGAGTTTTAAAAATACAAGAGCTAAATCTGTTTATTTCAGGTCTTTCTTTAGGCTTGAAATGTTATCTAAATTATTAATTAGACATTAATTAACTTATCCAGATAATAATCAACTCTCGATGTCATCTTATGTGTCTGATTTTTACTGGATTTGAATCTGATCTGCTGCTCAACGTTCATTAATGATCAAATCCAAAAATGGATAATTGAGACTGTTTTTTTTATCGTACTGACTTTAGTAATGATCGAGACTAGGCCTAGAATTCAATTGCTAATATCTCAGTTCAGAGTGGATCAATTTGACTGAAATTTTCAGCATATTCCCTTTACATTATCTAGTGTTTAACTATTATAGTGAAAACTGCCAGCTCTTTATCTAATCTCCCATAATGAACAACAAATAAGATTTACATATATTTTAAATGTATAATTAAATATGTATTCTGTTACCAATATTGTTTTTATAATCTAATACATCCAGATAATGTACAAACAGAAAAACCTATGGTGTCCACAATCGTTTTTCTTGGGGGTTGGATGGTCGAATGGTTAGCTTGTGCACGTTGTATCATAAGGTCTGTCATTGATTCAACTGGTGTGGTTTCCCAAGTTGTACGTGACAAGGAGTAGAGTCGTCTGTCCAACCTTGTGGGTTCCCTCCCACTGCTAAAGACCCCAGTCATTCGGATGGGATAAAAAACGAGGTCCTGTGTACATATTGGCGTGCACGTAAAAGATCCCATGGCAGTTGGAATTCGATATAAGAGTAGGCCATAGTGCAGCTGTCTGGGCAAAATTTCCCTCATAGCAAACTTTATGGCGTATGGTCGTCTTCATTAGCCCAGTATAGGAGCAGAACAGTAGGATGTTAAACCCCCATTTCATTTCATTTCATTGCAAAAATAACAACTGTCCATTGCCATCCAAGCATATTGCATTTAATTACCCCCGCCACCACCCACCCCCTTTTATGTATCTTTGTATAGCATCATACGTGATAATTGAACTATATTAGCGCTAATTATTTAATGTGAAAAACTCTTTATTATGAAAATGGCCACAAATTGAGTTGATCGATCTGAATTATTTTTGGACCCAGTGGTTTGACTATTTGTTTATAAAGGGTATGTCCTAGATTTCTCAGGAGCCCAAGAATAAAGGTGGGTTCAAGTTTCAAAATAAAAAAAAAATATTAAGTCTTTTCAATAATATGCTACATTTGCTTAAAAGTGTTACTTAACGCGTAAGCAATTGCATTGCTCACTTGTACGGGGGGGTGGATGGCCGAATGGTTAGCGTGTGTGCGCTGTTATCATAAGGTCTGTAATTGAGTCAACTGGTGTGGTTTCGATTCCCCGGTTGTATGTGACAAGAAATAGCGTCACCTGTCCAACTTTGTGGGTATCCTCCCGCTGCTAAAGACCCCTACGCACAAGCGAATTATTGAAGTAAAATTGAACCATATTTTAGTCCCGAAATGACCTAGTTTGTGTCGAGTGGACATTACCCCCCCCCCTCTCTCTCTTTCTCTCTTGTATAAATGATTTGATCACTATGTTTATTTACCATGGTAACTTTTTTGTAAATCTTCACGAACTTTCATTGTAACCCAGGGCCCTGTTTCGCGAAATCTTAACTAAAGATAAAATCCAATTTTAGTACATACTTAAAATTAATATTATCCAATCAAAGTACTAAAATTTGGAATTTATCTTTGTTAAAATTTTGTGAAACAGGCCCTTAGTATCATTTAATCTTGTGTATCTAGCACTAATTTCTTTCACATTTGTTTAATATTAAATCTTTGTTTCAAAATTCATAAAGATCATTTGAAATCACCCAAAATCATCTAATTTTTACTTGTGTCCAGTTTAAAGCTGACTGATTAATTTTTATAATGAGTGTCCAATTTCCAAGGATTAAATTTCTTGACCATTGTTAAAAAATTAATCATTATACATCAATAATCAGTTGATTTGTTTATTTTTAACTATGATCGAGAAATTAAACGCTGGTAAATTTGACACCCATTATTAAAATAGAATGAAGAGCTTTAAACTGGACACTAGTACAAATTAGATGATTTTGGGTGATTTTAACGAATTTTTAAACAAAGATTTGATATTGAATAAATGTGAAAGAAATTAGTGCTAAATAAAATAAACACAACAGTTCTATGGATAACAATTACTATATTTAATTAAAGCTACGTTTCAACAATGATTCTCTTGTCGTTATCAAGCACAATACTGATACACAAGATTAAATGATAATATAACATTATAGAATTTGGGGTGGACTTACTGCTTGCCAACTAACCCCATAGATAAAATTGGATGTTTATTGCATCAAAACGTCCATTATGGACAGCATGCATACATATACACTTAGACATAGTCATATACATTTAAAGTTGCAATTTCATATTTTTGATTTATATTTTTCCAAATGTATTAAAATAAAGCCCTAAAATAGATGGTATCCATAAACAGCCCTACCTTGGTAAAGAATAATCCTATTAATCCTATAATTCACTATTGCCAGTTGAGAAATTGGCAAAAATATCATTCTCAACTTCAAATTCAAACGTTTCAAGACAGCTATTCCATAGTGGGGAATAGGAAAAGAAGGGAGGTAATTGGAAGGTAATTGTGTTATTATTTCTGGTGTGAAGATTGACAACCTATTGAGCAAAAGACATAGAAATAATTATGTTTTGACTTTCTTAGAAAATATGAAATTATAACTTTAATAATACATATTACATAGACAACTTAATACATTCATACAAACAGTATATTACATATAACAACTTGATAAGACACTTATATCCCGTTCAGACGCTTATTTTTAATCCAGTTCATAATCGCTGGGGTTTTTAAGACAGCATCGTGTTGCGTTCACACGTACTATAAGCCAAACCAGTTTAACTATTCTGACCTCTTCGGTCGGAGGTTAGAGTTAACTACGCATGGGTAGCTTCATATTCTTTTTCGGTTCTCGCACGCTTTCGATAACATTGGCACTGTCTGACCCCAATATTTTCACAGGAATGTAACTAACTGCGTACTGCGCATGCTCGAAGCAAGCTGGAGCTAGGGTTTTTAAGCCAACCCGTTCAGACGGCTAAGATGAACCAGTTTAAAATAAAAAGCCTTCTCGAAGACAGGTCGCGAGCAGGGGTTTTTAAACTGGTTTATTTGCCCCACATTTGCGTTCAGGCGCTTAAGTTAAACTGGTTTAACGATCCCCGGGGTTTTTAAACCAGTTCAACTTAAGCGTCTGAACGGGCTATTACTTTAAATGATTACTGATATATAAGCCCATTTGGGCTCTTCTCTATCCACCATTAAAACTTTTCATTTTATTTTTTTATTTTTTTATTTGTTGAGATATGATCAGTTGAGTTAAGGAGAGACAGCAGGTAGTAAAATATACCTACTCTTGTTGTTTATATATAATATATATAGGTAGTAGGACTGATAAATACATTAGACTATTCCTGTATATTAGATAAGCTTGTATCTTTATATATAGTGTATATAGACCGTTTGACCTAGAGTTCTCGTGTTAAATATCGTATAGGCTACTAACTCAAGCAATACAGATAAGTTAATTCCATTCATAAACTCGGGGGATTCACAAGTATACTGGATTTGAATTCAAACTTGAGTTGATGTAAAGTAAAATTTGTGTGGGTGAAGACAGATATCCCTCGGTTCGTGTTCACATGGTTAATAACCTACACATAAAAACTCTGACTATTCATAAAGCTTGGCTTTCGTTATCATGCAGAATAAAACTTTCTCTGACTTATTTTTTTAAAAAAATTGTGAAATGGTGTGATCTGGAATAGCTATTTATATAATGAGTTTACTGTTAAAACCATTGGCAGTTACCATGTTATATGGCTAGGAGAGAGTTTGATTGCAGGTAGGCTGTTGAAGTAATTGTATATATTGGCAACAAAACACAAGATTAAAGATCTACAATTTAGTGAATATGTAACTCTGTTCACATATTGGGGGTTATTTTAGCTATTTAGCTATGTATGAGTCAAGATAATATGTTGCTGTGCCGGGGGTGGGTGGATGGCCCAGTGGTAAGCGTGTGCGCGTTGCATCATAAAGTATGTCAATGAGTCAAATGGTGTGGTTTCTATTCCCCAGTTGTATGTGACAAGGAATAGGGTCTCCTGTCCAATTTCGAGGGTTTTCTCCGGGTCCTCCGGTTTCCTGCCACTGCTAAAGACCCCCTACGTAGAAGCAAATTATTGAAATAAAATAGATCCACATGTTAGTCCCGAAATGACCTAGTTTGTGTCGAGTGGAGGTTAATCTATCTATCTCTCTCTCTCTCTCTCTCTCTCTCTCTCTCTCTCTCTCTCTCCCTCTTTCTCTCTCTCTCTAACCAAATTTTATGTGATGTTGCATTGTCACTTCTCAGTCAGCCAGAAATATTGGTGTAATTCTTTTGAAAATCACATAAAAAAAATATCTGTAAAATATGTTATTTTAATCTAAGAAACAGGTGAAATACGTAAATATCTATCGTGGACTATTACGGTCTTCCAAGTGATAATTTGCACCATATTGAGAAAAATGCCATTTTGAGGGTGCTGTCTAAAAACTGGAATAAACTTTGTTAAAGTATCATGTACTTCTCTGTTGCCATTTAAAATCTCTTGTTCGAAAGATGGAATAAGGAAGTTTATATCATCCAATCATGTATTGACGAGATTGGCATTTTTCTTAATAAGGAGCAAATTATCACTAAAAATTACAGGAAGCCAG